CTGAGCTAGGTGCTGTACAAAGTCTCCACATCACTGGGGTGCTCTGGGAAACCACCAGTCTTGCTGCCATTTGAAAGGAGGTCTCTCCTGTTCCAGGTGGCTTTGGAAATCCTGGCCCTCCACAGGGTGTTGCAAGGCCCTTGTTGAGATCCTGAACTCAGAAGGTTGGAAATCTCTCTCTGCTGCCCATGGAGGAGAGGAGGGACAATTTAGGCAGGAGAAAGGGTGCGTTAAAAAAAGGAGGCAGTATATGGGTATCATCTCTCACAAAAGCTTAATGTGGAAATGGGTGTGGAAGGACTGATAGCCAACATTTAACCCTTGGCACCACTCAGTTCACAAGTACAACCAGTTGCCCTGAGACTCAGTACGCTAGATGTGCACTAACCACACTTGGGGACTGATGTATGGGCTGATTTTGAGAGCCATCCCCAGGCTTCAAGGGGTTAATCTTTAGCCTGTGATAAAGGGATGAAACCCACTCTAACCCCTGAGAGTGGGGGTTAGAAGTAGGGCCCATAGTCAGCAACCTGCTGGGACATGTGGCTGTATTGGTCCCTCCTCAGAAGCAGCCAAAATGGTTTCTAGCCACCCTGGGGAGATGTGGGAGCAACAGGCACTTTCCAAAAGACAGTCAAAGGCTGCTTTCCATGCATGAAAACACTTGACACCATTTTGACAGGCTGGCTTCTCCCTGGCTACCCCTTGATACTCACCTGCCAGCCCAGAGCTTTGAACACCTTGCTGGAGATGCTCATCCATCCTTGCAAAAACACCCCCATCGCTCCCTGCCCTGCATGCAAACGCTGACCTTTTGGCGAGCTGTAGTGTCTGTAAAACATTAGCCAAAAGCTCTCCCCGGTGCCAGAGGTCCCTGCGCTTTTTTTTCGGAGAACAGCTCACAACTATCCATTGCGTGCAGCAGGGACAGCCGCATGGATGCTAGCTCAGCTCACTCCGGGAGGAGCCTTTCCTACAAAAGCCATGGATTTCTCGGCACTCTGGGGGCACCTCCAGTGAGCCTTTGAGTCCCTGCCATCGATGTCGGTGGAGAGCACCCCCTCAGCCTGGGTAGTCACGGTGGTGAGGGCATCTCTACCCTTTCTCCCTCCTCGGGATCCCGCAAGGCAGCTGAGTCGGAGGATGTTTAGGACCCAGGCTGCACGGCTCCTCCCTTTCAGGTCTCTTCAGGGTTATTGCTTGGTGGGAGGTAGGTTCAGGGCTTGATGGCATGAATGAAAGAGAGACAGGAAATCTGGACTGAAAAGCTCAAACTGGAATAGCTCGCTTGTCTCCAGGCAACAGGCCTGACGCAACCGCTGGGGGAAAAAAAAAGTCTCTTAAATAAAAAAACACACACAGAGAGATTTCTGAAGCGAGACAGAGACAAGGATGAGACAGTCTCCTGGAGGCACTGGTGACACTGCTTTGCAAATACCAAGTTGGAGACTCGAAGACGAAGCAGCGAGTCAAGACGTCCGTGGAATATTCCCTGTGACTCGGTCCCCGGTAAGTTTGTTTCTCTCATTGGCTCAGCCATGCTGGGTCTGGGGTGAAGCACAGCCTAGTGGGGACGCGTGGGTGAATCCAGGACGAGAGCTGTCTGAGAGCCATCTCGGCAGGGGAGGGACACCAAGCTTTTCTAGTCTAGTGGAAACTGGTAGCAGGAAGGACCTGGTCCCTGGGGAGCACCTGGATGGAGGCGATGGGGACCCCCTGCCCTGCGAAGTTCAGTACCGGGCTTGGCCATGCCTCTTCCTATGCGTTAGGGCTGGGGGTTGCATTGTCCTCCTAGTCACAATCTCCTGCCTTCCCTCAAGATGTCCCACACTGTGGCATACCGCTGATGGGGACGGGCTGGGAATCTGGGCAGGATGTGATCTCCCTGGCAGTGCTCTCAGCTGAGAGGTGTAGGGCTACCTCACCACCTTCAGGGGAATTTTTCTGCACTAGCTGGGGTGTAACGAGGCAGAGTCTGGCCCTGGTTGGGGACATTCACCTGTTGCTCCCTCTGCCCCCTCTCCAAGATGAGCGGGAGCCCTAGAAGGGTTCATTGGCTTGTTCAAAGCAGACATAATGGGATAAAGCATGGTGGCCTTGCAGGGCGTAGCTGCCTTCAATTTTTGAAACAGGCACTGTGTGTTTGAGCAGAGCAGGTTTCCACCCGCTCAGGTCTGGCCCTTGCAGCTCATGCTAGCACTGAGGGGGAAAAAAAAAACCAAAACATCCAGAACTTCTTCAGAGCCCTTTATAACAGCTTGGGGCTGATTACTAAAATAACACTGTCAGCCCACACCCCTCCCTGTGCACACACTTGTGCAACCCCAGCCAGTGCACCTTGTGCAACGCACCCCCCCTTGCACGAGACATTGCACTTGCACAAAAGCACACCGTTCAGCCCGCACCCTTTCGAATCCAGACGGGGACACCTCTCCCACAGTTCCCACTGGCGCAGGGCTAAGGAGACCTCTCCCTATTTTTCTGTGATGCTCCCAGTAGTATTCGGCACTGTTCTGCCCTTCTGAGCTTTTCTGCGTTAGGTACCTTGTTGCGGGGGGTGGGGGGGGGGGGGAAACAAAAGAAAACCCAGGGGT